CAGAACAAAGAATATTGAAAACCCCCGTTTTACCTAGAGCTCAAGGGCTACTCTAGTAAAGACAAAAGTTCCAGTTAAGTTTTGCAAATATACATGTCTGGTTTTTTTTCTGCCTTTGTGCAGGAATGTTGATTCGCTCTGGCCTTTAACCCGGTTCCCATTTTTAAAAACACCAGCATTACTTGAAGATCAGGTAATATGATGCTTTGGGAAGAGGACTCATGAAGTGCGATGATCGACTGTGTGAATGCCCGCGTGTTTGGAGTGCCTGGGGAATCACACCACATTACAAACACTTCCTCGTAAAGGAGGCAGCAACACAACAGACAAGCAGGCAAGCTTCCCCGCTTCGCGATCAGATTCTTCCAGGTTAGAAGATCCATTCTGTGATCCCTTTGTTTGGCTTCGCGCGAGGAGCGGAGCGGACCCCGCCCACCTGCCAGCAAAACCAACCATTGAAAACCACCCCTTTGGCCCGGTGGCTAGAGCGGCCCTGATTCAGCGCTGCCCCAGCGTTTCCTGCTGCCCGAGGAGGGTGGATTCCCTGCATCCGTATTGAGGTTTGGCGTGTTTCCGGTGGCGGTCTGGGAGGAGGGGGAATGATGGAGAGGAGAACGGCGGCGCGGCGGCCAGTGCCTAGAGGGGAGCCGAAAGAGGTCCGTGACTGTGGCTTGGAAGCGAACGGGGAGAAAAGGCGCTGCAGGCCTGGGCTCGGCTCCCAAGGGAGTGGGGAGCGGGAGCGCTTGGGGTTTGCTTTTGCGGGTGGGAGCGCGCCAGGGAAGGGGGTTGACTGCACGGAGGGGCTCAAGAGGCGGACACGCCTGGCAGACGGGCAGGGGGCAAGTCGGTGGGTCGGTGCCGAGACGCTTGTGCTGGGAAAGGGCGGCGGATGGGCGCCGTGCGGCGGACCGTGCAGGTCCCTGGCTCCGTTTTGGTGGAAGGACGGTGGTGGCGGGGAGGCGTTTTGTTCCGAGAACGGGCGGCAGAAGGTTGCTCGGCGAGAGGAAGGGGAGCAGGGCTCCCTGACAAGCCAGAGTAGCGGAGGTGGTGGTGGCGGTGGTGGGAATTCCCAACCAGCCGCAGAATTCCCCGATAGAATTTGCTTTTTTTTCCCCCGTCTTTTTTTTTTTGTAGCCCGGCCTACCTCGGAGGGTTGTTGTTACGGGGCTAGACTAGGCAAAAGACAGCCTCTCTCCCGTTTTCGAGCTCCCGGAGCAAAAGTAAGGATGTCTCCATGTGGTAGAACTGTTGCCATTTGGAGACCATCCGCGAACGCTCAAGCCACATTGAGAGCTATGCGTGGGATTGCTTTTCGGAAGCAAAAAAAATAAAAAAAAAATGCTGTTCTTTTCATCCCCTCTGAATCTAAACCCAAAACATTTAAGCTCCGTTTTGCTGCAGAAAACAGAAGGCACGTTTCAAATAAAAAAGTAAATAAAATCAAACCCTCCAGAACTTACAACTCCAGCTCCGTTTTGTCGTCGTCCTCCCCCCCCCCCCCCCATTTCGTTTTTTTAATGATACGTGGTTATCTTTTTAACTATAACCAGAAAGTCCTGACCTACCAGGATAAATGTTGCCCTGCCTCCTGTTACAGTCTTAACTCAGGGGTAGTCAACCTTTTTATACCTACCGCCCCCTTTTGTATCTCTGTTAGTAGTAAAATTTGCTCTAACTGCCCACTGGTTCCACAGTAATGGTGATTTATAAAGTAGGGGACAAAACCCCTCTACCGCCCACCATGAAAGCTGGAACGCCCTCTAGTGGGCGGTAGGGACCAGGTTGACTACCACTGGTCTAACTGGTCATTTATTAACTTGATATGCCAACTCACTGGTAAGTCAACTCTGGGCAACTTAACAAACAGTAGAAAGATAAATATAGAAACAATTACAATGTTTAAAAAAATCTATATAAGAAACTAGATCCAATGAGACAGAGAGAGCAGGGATCCATCACCTTCAGCCAGAAGGGTGGGAGTAATTTACACCTCTGGTTCACTGTGGAAAAGGCTTTTCTTGACCCCACCCATCAGAATTCCTTAGCAGATGGAGTCTGCAGCAGGCCCTTCCACTGGAGCTAGTGGGACAAGCTAGATCCATTGCCTTGAGATAATTCCACAGGTATCCTGGATGCATGCCATTGTAAGGCCATAAATGTAATACCTAGAATTGGACCCAGAAGCATACTGGTACAAATGCATTTAATGTAACAGCAGTCTTACATGTGCCACTCTAGGGGGGGGGGGGCAGAACTCTGTGTACCGCTGCATTCTACACCAGCTGTAGCTTCTGAATAATCTTCAAGGATAGCCTCATGTAGAGCACATTGCAGCAATTTAACAGAGGCTATCAAGGCAGGAGTGACTGTGTGCAGGATAGGCGCAACTGGTGTAAACACGAAGTTGAGCAAAGGCTCTCCTAGCCACAACTACTGCCTGCATTTGAGCCTTAATAAACTAAACCATTTTGTTCTTCAGCTTAATGGTACAATTGAATGAGATTTGGGAGTAGCCGGTGGGTTATTTCCAAGACGTGTGGTTGGGCTGGTGAAGAAAGTGTGGGGCTCAGGAGCTAACGTGAAAAAACAGCAGGAGCATATTTTGCCTGGCCAGATTCTTGCAAAATTTACTTGCAAAATTTTAAAAAGAGTACTTATGTGAAGATTTAAAAAAGGTGAACCGGACCTCTATCAGAGTAGAAGATCAGAGTCTACTATTTTGAGCTCTTTTCCAAAGGGAATAAATATACTGCATTTTGGTTAATAAATTGTAGTTAAGAGCATGTTGGCTTGAAAGGTAGTCTTTAGATTAGAGATTGCAGCTTGCATAGAATAAAGTTAGCATACTTGAAGCGAAATAGGCTTTGGTTACGTTTAGGTTGCTTAGCCAAAATGTGCCAATACTGTCCTAAGAATTGTTGTGCATGGCAGAAGAATGACTAAGGCTGACATCCTAATCTACTCTGTATTAAGCAAATAAAACGGATGGAAATGAAATGAAAGAACACAGAAAAGGTTGGTGGGGCATTTAGAGACCTATGGATGAGAATGATGGTTGTTTAGAAAGTTTAGAAAATCTGTTTTGAATAGAAATAAAAAAGCATTGATTTTTATTGTTTTTGATGAAAGATTGAGAAGATTAATGAAGGCTGCAGTGATTAGAAGTCTTGAATGTAGGACATCCAGTATTGGAGTCAAGACTGGATCTCAGTCTGTAATATTTGTATTTTTTTTCCTTTTTTAAATTTATATGTATTATATTTGTATTATTTGTATTAAAATATATATATATAAAAATAAAAAAAACTGGATCTCAGGAAAAATTGACATATAAAAAACAGGAATGAAAGTATGAGTCCTATATGAAAAAGTATTAGAGAATTCATCTTCCAACAGAATAAATGGAAACTGAGCATAGAAAAGAGAATGGGTAAAATGTTTGGAACAGAAGGAAAATAGTTACATGTGTTACAGGAGTATATGGTGTTACATTAAGACGGGTGTCAAACTTGCATCGTCACGTGACGTATCGTGACTTTTCCCCCCTTTGCTAAAATGGGGGTGGGCGTGGCCAGCACGTGCTGCATCTGGCCCATGAGTTTGACACCCTTGCACTAGGAAGTATGAAAAAAGATGCTTGGGAGGGTTGAATGTGATACATCTAAGAGGATGATTGCTGCAAAAAATAAGGATGAAGGAAAGGTGCAATGTAACTGTATATACTAAAAGAGATATTTACAAAGAACGTAAATACAAAGAAAAAGTCATAGTTACAATTCAAAGAGGCAGAGGAAATGCAAAATGGAAATTTTGATGGAAATTAAATATCAAACAGTGCTTTGGAAAAAATAAATGAGCTTCCAGCAGATTGGATGGGAATTTTAAAAAGTGACATTGGAAATGCTGGAAGGAGTATTTTAGATATTTGTATGGAAATGATATTGAAAGTATTAAGAATAAAAATAAAATGAAGTTTAAATATTAAGTGTCCAAAAATGGATGAAAGAGGAGTAGTAAGTGCTATCAGAATATTTAAAAATGGTAGTGCTGCAGGATTAGATTGTACAAACTAGGAAAAGTGTGGATATGATTTGCTTATGGAATGGTTGTACAACTTTTACGCGTGTGAGAAATATACTTTTGACTGTTGAATGCTTACTGCTGTTGTTTCTCAAGATACAGGTAGTTCTTGACTTATGACAGAAATTGAGCCTGGAATTACAGTTGTAACTCGTGTCATTCATTAAGTGCGACCCACCTGATTCTGTGATTTTTTAATTTTTTTTTTTGTGGTGTTCATTAAGTGAACTCATCCACAGTAGGAGGTTTTGTTGTTGTTGTTTTGCCAGAAATTGAAAGCAAATGCTGGTTTCCAGCAAAACCATTGTAAACCTAAGTCACATTGCAAACTGCTATAAATGTTAGCTTGTTGCTAAGAGCTCAAAATGCAGGAGCCATTAGAATTTTGAATTTGGGGTCATAAGTACCTTTTTGGGGAGAGCCATAACTTCAAACAGTTGTTAAGCAACTGGTCATAAAGACTATTGGCAGGGATAGGATAAGAAGAGGAACTGCAAAAACTACAAGAGAATTACTTTACCAAGTAACCCTGGGAAGTTGTTTGAATTTGATAATGAACAAAATTTGGAAAGTGCAGTGTGACTGGTAAGCAAGAGGTATGTGGATCAGATGTTGCACAGACTATAAGATGCTTAAAAAAGAGAATACTTTAAAAAAAAAAGAAATAATATGACATATCGTATGAATATTGTGGAAAAGAGTGATTTGAGGAAAGAAAGATCAAGAGATATAGTGAATGATGCTGGTGTAATTAGTTTTAATCTTTTCTTCTCTTTTTGTTATGTTGTGCCTTAATTTCTTTGAGTTAGGTTTTCTTATTATTTCTCTGTGCCTTATATAGCATTGCTTACCCAGAAAAGGAATAATGTGATATAATAATAATGTGTGTAATATGACTGTACAATTCTATAGTTTTCAGTTTAAATGCTGCTTTTTATGTTTTAACAGAATGACCTCCAAAGAGATTAGAGTATTTAATAAAAGGACAAAGCAACCTACACAGACCGAAATCATTACTAATGAGAGAGATTAGCAGTGTTTTGGGGGAGGAGATAGATTGGTAATTGAAATGTGTTTGCAAACAACCCAACATATTAAAGCCAGTTCCAGCTTAATAATCATATTTGTGTTGTTAATCATCATGGTGGTTTCTTGCTGATGTTTCATGGTTGCAGGCAGGTTTTTAGGAAGGAAACTGATTAGGTTGGAAAAATGGAATAAATTTGGGGGAAAGGGAAACAAGCTCCCATCTATGTCCAAAGGCTGACAGAGAGGATAATCCTTCAATTAATATTGCCTTCGAAATCCAGATGACCTAGGAAATTAGAGCCAAGATAAACTACCAACAAAAAAACTTTTAGCTTTTTTTATAAATATGTCAATTGAAGATCTGGATTTGAATGAACGCACTAATTATAAAAAACAATATTATAATGATTTGATCTTTGGATGGTGTAGGCTTGGGGGAAGTATAGTAACAAATTTATGAGAGAAAAAATATTACGGTAGGGATGCCCAGTTGTTAAGATGGTTTTGAAATGAGCTTTGATGATATTGAGGGAATTATAGTCAAGTAAAGAAGAGCAAGGTTGATTGAAGGTTGAAAATCAAGAGAGAAATTGAAGCCTATCTTTCGTGAGGATTAATTCAATAGCCAGTTTGAAGAATCCAAATAAATTATGTTGTGGGGATTGACTATTCTTGGCAGGTGTTTCTGTTTCCCTTCCATTCTAAGGTTCTGGAGGTTAAATTTCTGTTGAATAACAGAGTGCTGTGGGGGTGGTTTGTAAAATTGAGGAGCAGCTGAAGGAATAATGCTTGGACATGTATGGTGAACTGAAACAGTGTAGTGGCAAAAAGTATTTAAGAGCATCTGAGCAACATCTGAGGAAGAATCTTATAACAACAACGTCCTTGCTTAAAGTGGGTAAGTAGCAGATAATCGAGAGCATTTCCTCTAAAATTTCAAGGCATATTCATACTTCAGTTTAGGAGCATATTTAGCAGAGAACAAATCTTGTTTCTGAGAGTAAAGCAGGTTGTTGCTACTTTTGTTCAGTTGTGCAGTTTACAACCAAGGGAATGTGTTTTAGGCCCAGGCTATTTTTCAAACCAAAGAAACAAGATCATATTTCATATAATAAGGTTCCGATTGCATATTATTCTCTTGGCTTGATCAGAGCTATTATGATCACATATAATAAACAGGGATTGTGATGCAACTTTGTTTAAAATCTGTTTGGAAGTAAGAAGTAGCCTGATACACATGCTGAATATGTTCTTCTAAAAATTAAACTATTTTTGGTAATATCTTCAAAATGATAGGCTGACTGATCTAATTCCTGCCTGTGACTGTTGTGATGCAAATCTCAGCTTGTCTTACATGAAACAGGTGAAGAACAGTTGTTTAACTCTCATCTCTTAAAGCCCTTTCTTGTTTCTTTTCTGTTTCTTTGTACAGTATTGTGTACATTTGTATTTATACATATGCTCATAATAGAATCTATAGGTTCCTTCGTATGTTGTATGATGCATCCGGTCTTAGCTGTTCCCAGCACAGTGGGATAATAGATTTCTAGGGAAAAAATATAAAATGCCAGTGTCTGTACTTGGTTTTCTGATCTGAACCTTCTGTGTAGCTGGACCCAAGAATGGGATTGCGGGTTTCACCTAAAAATAAAAGCTCTTATGTGTGATTTCAATTTTTTGGTAAAAATGGTAGATGACTATTTAAATCAAATGGGTAAAATATCTGTTGATATGAAATGAGGCATCATTAGTATTTGAAGCAGAACATTATGAAATGAAAACTCATGTGAACAGTGAATGCTTTTTTTGATCATCTTTAATCTTGTTGCTATTTGCTATTGTCACTAAAAAAGCACCAAGTATTATTTTTAGGGTACATCCTGAGCAAAGCTAAACATGAAGCATCTTCTCACTGTAAACTACTTAGAATTGGGAGAATTAAGTGTCAGAGAAGACTGAAAATATATGTTGTTGTGAAATGTTTCAAATAAGTCAGACATAATATGTTGCAAATATTATGTCTGACTTATTTGAAAAATATGTTGCTTTGCCTAAGGGTGTGGAAATGAGCTGAATATTAATTCTTGCATTCCGTGTATAGAGCAAATGATGAAGAAAATGTACATAATTTTGTGTACTATACTATGCTGTTACTAAAAATAGTAGGGCATTAACACGACACGCCATACTGGTATAAATTTGGTTTTTTTTTAATTTTCTGTTAAATTATTTATCCTCTTATGAACCACAGATTCTGGCAGTTAAGATAAACAATGACTTAATCTGAATAAGAAGAGAGAGAAAAATGGGCCATGGTGAGAGTTCAATTCAGAAGAGGAACGCAACATCAGCATTGTCTTGTTGCTATTCAGGAAGAAATTCTGCTGCAGAAGGTAAAACAATTGTTTCTTCTAGAAGTCAATACACTGTTTACTTTTATAGGTATATCTCATTTTCTGGTGAAGTCCGGTGTTTAACTGAACAGACTCATTATGTGATCTAATCTGGAAAAGTGGGTGCTGCTGGTAAGTCTCAGCAGATGTCTGTGCTTAGCTACTCTTACCTGGGCTCAGATGTTATTCAAACTTGATTCTAGTTACATAAATTGCCAAAGAATATTATCTCTGTAGCCTAATATTGAATTTTAAAAATTCCAGAAGAAAGCAAATGACAAGCTATTGTCTTTTTGCTGGCAAGAAAATTACATAGATTTTTCTGTGAAGTTGCTGGGAACTGAACTTTCAATAGAAGAGGGTGAATGTAGCTTAAGGTTGAACTGGGGAGTTCTTGGTGTGGTCTGAGCTTGATTGTTTGCTTGCAGATGTCTCATTACCCAATTAGGTAACATCATCAGTACTGATGAGTGTGGGGTTTGCTCTCTTTATAAACAGCAGCTGGCCCTGCCAGCGTTGATGAGGGTGTGGTTTTCTCCTTGGCTGTTCTTTGATTAAGGTATTGTTTTCTGCTTGATTGTCTGGTGTTAATCCCTGCTTATCTGGGTGTTGGTTGCTGTAGAGCAGGGGTGTCAAATTGGCAGCCTATGGGCCGGATGCATCATGTGCAGGCCACGCCTACCCCAGCTCCTCAAAGGGGGGAAATGTTACAAAACGTCATGTGATAGTAACGTGACCCAGTGAGTTTGACATCTGGGCTGTAGAGCATATCTTCTGGGGGTTTTTTTGTTTTTGTTTCCTTCTTAGCTTTTTATTTCTTCTGAATGATGTGTAAATGTGATTTATTTCAATGTGTTGATAAACTATATTTTTCTGCTGTTCAGCTCTTAGATCTAAGAACCCCACATTGAGAAATATAAATGCTAACTGTGATTAATTACAATTGCTAAATTTTTAATTGCCAGGTGTTAGAGTGAATTAGAGGTTGTTGGAGTGTCCAGTGGAATACCATCCTCATTTTGTAGTAATTCTGAAGGGCAGTTTTGGTGGATTACAGCAGGTTGAATATAAATATTGATATAGATTAAAATATGGATGTTATTTTCAAAGTAATGTTTTATTTATATATGTTGTAATTTTTATGTGATTAATCATATTTGTAGCTTGCCAATAGCTACTTGTAGTAATAACATACATGCAATTATAATATTGCATTATGCATCTACACAGTAGGTAGGCTAAGCATTTGAAATTAATGTTCTGTGAAGTACAGAATATTTCAAATAGAAGATAATTAAAAGGTGGCTAGATCTCTGCATTGTAGTAAGAGGAGTAGCGTGCAGTTTTAATTCATTTCCATCTTGTTGCTGACCAGGTTAAAAAGCTTTATACAGCTGTGGTACTTTCTGTTAGCAGCCAATTACAGCCACATGATATAATTAGATATCTGAAAAGAGATCCAACACAATTTATAGTAGGTAAAGGATTTGTCTTACTCATAAATTAGCCCAAATAGCTTAACATTTGTGGAAAGGAGAGAACTTTTTTTTTTCATTTTGAGGTCAAGAAACTGATTTTATGTGAAAGTAATTCTATAGTATGTAATTTTTAGTTTGGCATATGAAAAGAATTGCAACTGGTTATAAATTGCAACTGGAAAGTCAGCTTGGATATTGAGGTCTAGAAATGGTTTGCAGATTTATCTTACTAAAATATCTCTTAGGAATGCATTTCAACATAAAATCCATCAATATCTTGAAATATAAAGTATTTTGAAATCCACCAGCTTAATTCTCAATTTTATTTGTTTATTTAAGTGTATTGGCCATCCAACTCAATTGGACAGTCTCTAAATTGACATGTCACATGTTTTGTTGCTGATTCTATTTGTGGTTATTTAAATTACTTTACATTTGCAATACTTGTGGCATATTGTATATTTTGTTTTCCTGGAGTACTATAATAAAATTAAGTTATCTAGTTATTTAAGTATGGAGGGGTCTGCTGAGTAATTTTGATTTCCCTACACATTGAACTAAAAATTTGCAAACATTGCTTTAACGTGTTAGGCTTCTAGTGTTTCCCTTAAGTTTAATTTACAACCAATATGGCTTTTATGGTTAAAGGTCTTTCATATTTTTTAACTTATTTGAACCTCAAATCATGTTTGTTTCCACTAAACCAGTATCTGGGTAATTACACTGAAAAGTTTCCAGAACTCTTACCAAATCACCTTATAAGAGTTTTGTCAAGTTTCTTTCTGTTTTGCCTACAGAATATGTTGACAGTTTATGCTTATTACTAAATTTTGAATAATTTTGGTCCTTGGGTGTACTAAATACAGAAGAAAAGATAAAAATAAAAATTTTGAAAAATCTGCAGTAAAAATGAGTGAAACAGAAACAATAAGCCAGAAGGGGAAAAAGATTTAGAAAATGTGAGTACTACTGAATTTAAAAGAATGAAGGCTGCTTGAGACTGCGAACAGCTATAGGACAATTTCGTGAAGATAGTAAGGAGATGATTGTTAAAAGTCTAAAAATATTTTTAGAATGGGAGGAAGTAGGCATCAATGGATGTTGAATTGGACAAGCTGTGTAGAATTAACACAAGAAATGAAAAGTTAAATGTATTAAGTAATGTACTTATGCACCTTGTCAGGAAGAATACAAGACAACACTAAGCTAAAGTTTAAATAACTATTGAAAAGTATTGTGCAAAAGAAAATAATACAAAATTGCCTTGCTTGATTTAGGGATAAGTACTTTTATAAAACACTGGAACACTTTGTGGACTTTTTGTTGAAAATGGACAGGAATAAATTGATGATTTCTTGATTTGTCAATTAAAAAGGGTTGAAATATGGTAAGAAGTGAACTAAGTAATGTGATTTTAAGATAGAGTTGATACCAAGTTTGTTTGTAACTGCTGGAAGTTACTTCTTTAAATATATTTTCCTTTTCCTGCATTTTTCCTCTCTTATTTCCTTTTTAATTTGATTTCTGTATTGTTTCATGCTTAAATTTTATCCATTTAAAAATTCTAATAAAATTCTAATAAATTTTTTTTAAAAAAAAGAATTTGTACTAGTATGAAAGAAAGTCCTCTCTTTGAACCATTAGGGCAGTTGCATTTTCTGCAAGGTGACAGGTATTCCTTTCTTAACAATGGTAATTTGGACTGGAATTTCCATTGTTAAGCAATGCAGTTGTAAAGCACGATATTATGATGACATCATTTAATGACAGCAATTCCAGCAGACCCTGGTTACCATCATTAAGAAGGACCTGTTATAATTTCCTTCTGGCTTCCAATAAGCAAAGTCAATGGGGATGCTGGCAGTAAGTTGCAAATCCTGAAAAGGTCAGTAGGTTGATAAGTGGCTGCTACAGCACAAGCATGGCCAGGCAGAGGTAGCTGCTGCCAGATGTAGGGGAGCCTGCTGATGGGTGGCAGGAAACAAGCACAGCCTGGCAAGGCCTGATTGTGCCTTTATAAAGTTCCAATGGTTAATATTGGAACATTTTTAAATTGAGATTTGGTCTTGATGTAGGCTTGTTTGCAGTTCAGTAAAAAAAAATCCATAGGTGTCCTTTTCCTTTCAAATAAGATTCATCTTGATCTTCTTTGCAAAACTTGTGAGTATTGAGTAATTTGAGTGGCTGCTGTCCTCTGTTCAAACAGGATCGTTCTGGACAGAATAGACTGACTGTGATTTGTATATTCTATAGTAGAGCTTAGTGATGTTGCTGGTTGTACATATCTTTTTCTCTATTGTCCATTCAAAGTGACCAGCCAGGCTGATTTTTTTTCAGCATTAACTTTTTTGTTGTGTAAAATAATTAGTGAAAAGTGTCCCAAATATTGATGAGTAACGTTTTTTTATCCAAGAGGAAGGTAAGCAGGATTTAAGATAACCTTCATACAAACAAAAAAGAAGATTAAATTAAAAGCATAATACTAGGCAATGTCTATCTTCCCAGCCTTGACAATGTGTGCCTGTGTCACCTGAGAGGAAACCTGAAAATTTCTCTTCCCTGCAAAGGTGTGCATTGACCACACACACACACAAACACAAACACACACACACACACACACACACACACACACACACACACCAGAAGTCACATTTCCCCAAAAGACAGGGCCAGAATAATAGCAGATTAAAATTAGTTACCTATAAATCAATATATATTGTTCTGCTATTGAGTTTTGCTTCCCTGTGACCTTTTGGCTCTCATTTCTGCAGGATTGCAAGCATTGTTAAAGAGAAGATTAAAATACTCCTTTTATAAACTGAATTGATCCTGTATCTGCAGAAATTAACCGTTTTGTTACACGCACTAATCATGCACATGCAAATAAATGCACAATCTTCAAGCAGACATAGAAAAAAAAAAAGAAGGGGAAAGAAGACTGGGAAAGGAAGGAAAGAGAAAGGGGAGGACAGCAAAGATGAAGGGAAGAGGTGACAGAACAGAAAATGATATGTCCTGTTGAGATGTTAGAAAGAAAAGGTTTAAATGAATCATCCCAAGCTTTTCAAAAATGTCCCAACTTCTAGTAAAAAATGTCTGCAGATAATTGTGCCAAGTTAGTCCTAAGAGAACAAGGAAAGTTTACTTCTAATGTACCCTTGCAAACGCTTCTGGCTACTGTAACATTCTGGGGAAAGATTTATGCTTTGTATACACTTGAGAAGTAGTCTCTCCTGAGCAAAGATATATACTTTACTCTCTGACATTAGGAGTAACTTGATTTATTTCTTTTTTTAGCAAGGTGATAGCTAGAAATACCTTGATCCACCATTAAATGTTTAGTTTCAGATTTCCAGAATGCCTCCCCCTTCAGTATATACAGTCAGATGCCTCTATATTCTGGTTCCCGCAAAAATGGAAAAGAAGAGTGTGGAATATAGGTAGTCATCAGCTTACAATCACAATCGAATCTAAAATTTCCATTACTAAGCAAGACAGCTGTTAAAGTCAACTTTGCCCCATTTTATTACCTTTCTTGCCCCAGTTAAGTGAATTGCTGCAGTTGTGAAGTTGGTAACACTGTTGTTAGGTGAATCTGGCTTCCCTATTCCCTTTGCTTGCCAAAAGGTCTCAAAAGGTGATTGCATGACCTCAGGCCGTCATAAATACATGGCATTTGCCAAGCATCTGAATTTTGATCATGTGACCCTGGGGAAATGTTACAACGGTCATAAAGTGTGAAAAATGGTTGTAAGTCAGTTTTTTCAGCACTATTGTAACTTCAAACGGTCACTAAATGAATGGTTGTAAGTTGAGGTCTATTGCATATCAAACTGCATACAAAGAAGTGAATAATAACATAGTGTGGAGTGAAGTATCTAATCTGGTAGTCATAGCCTAGTAAAACTGTGGAAAATTAATCTTAGAGAAAACGGGACTGAGTCAGGTTGTTTTTTCTCTGTCGTGTGACATCCTGTTCCTTAGGGGCTTGTAGTTTTCTCTGTGAATCTGTGACTTAGCAGGCAGCCATATCAGGTTAGTAGGCAGGCAGCCTAGTTAGATGAAGGATTTCTAACTGATTCCACCCAAATAACATTTTTGAAATGCATGCGTAGAGCTTCTTGTCATGAAAATTCAAATACATAATTTTTCTTCCTCCTGCTTTTTTCCCCCACCCCAGCGTTTTGGCATCGGTGATGAGAAATGGGGTATGATGTAGCACGTTTTCAAGGGGATGTTGATGAAGATCTTATTTGCCCCATCTGCAGTGGGGTTTTGGAGGAGCCAGTGCAGGTAGGTGGTAAAGAACAACTTAACTAATATGTATTTTGTATACAGGTTTTATAAAGCAATTATGTATTAAGTCCTTCTTACTCATATAGAGGAACATAGCACGGTGTAGAGATTAAGGTGTTGCAACAGTCATGGGAAGGCCTAAGTTGTAGTGTACTCTTAGCCATTGAAACATGGTGTGGAACCTTGAGCTAGTTTTGCCCTAATCTATTCCCACAAACTGTTGGTTTTGTGGGGGATAGGATTAGGCTTCTGGATTAAAGGTAGAATATAAATGTAATAAATATATTGTAGTTAAAAGTTAATTTAAGCACTCTTGTACTATTATCTTCTATTTCAGTTCAACTGCTTCAGCTAAAAATGTCCAGGTTTAATTTTTTTTGTTTAGGGGGAAAAATTATTATTTGAAAATTTCAGCACAATATGCTAATCATTGTGAAGTTTATTTAAATTAACAGCACTAGTTTTCCAAAGCAAAATATAAAACTAAGTTAGTTAATATGAGAGAGAGAGAGAGAGAGAGAGAGAGAGAATATTTGTCTATTCTTGAAAAGTTTTGCATGTCTATATAACATTTAAGTATATAACAAATTAAAAGTTGTGGATATTATACAAAAAATAAGTCATAATTATGTAATCCTCTGAATAAGCTTTAGTTGATTCATACAATGTTTTCATACCTATAGCAAAGAAATATGAGAGCTCATCCAATAGTGATTCAAAAGCATACACGCAAAAAAAAAGCTAACAAAACTTTCTGGGTGAGGAAGATGTTAGGAATTTATAATGATACTGCAAAGTAACAGTTAATCTTATAGGTGTGTTTCTGTTTATCGCTGCCTTTATAAAAATATATATTCTAAATTGAGGTACGACTATTCATGCAGAAAAGCAGTACAGTATTTGCTGTTCCAGACAGGTTGCCTTAACTGTTTTCCTCTAATTAATTTGCCTTTACAATGAGAAAGTTTCATTTAGTTCACTGAGAAGAGAGGAAAGGATGCAAACAATTGGGGGCGTATGAGTTGTGCTTAAGGCGTGTGTCTTAAATTCCGTATCGCTTTCCTTTTGGGCAAATTTGAATAAAACTGTCTTTCTGTGTATCCATTTGTTCTTTGTCTCTGCAAGAGGCAACTTTCCTTCATGTCAAGTGCATTGTATTATATTTAGAAGTTCAGAAATAAAATAATTATTCAAAGCAATTTCTAAACCACTCCAGTCCCATGGAATCTAAATTCATGTGATTTTGCAAGGCTGAATTGGTATATAGTAATTGATCTAAAAGGATTAAAGGGCAAGCCATTTTCTTTGTGATTTGACTAGTTTTCCCACTCTGCGCATCTCCTCAGAAGGAACGTTATTTCTAGAATAGATGGAAAAATACATAGGTATTTGCAACATACAACCATCATAAATGAATTAACCTTAAGTACTGCAGTTAAAGGTGCTGCGTTTGTCAGCTGAAAAAGTGACAGCCCAGGTTTGAGATCTGAGCGCCGTGCAATGGGGTGAACTCCTGTTCCTTGCCCCGGGTCCTGCCCATCTAGCAGTTTGAAAGTGTGCAAATGCAAGTAGATTAATAGGTACCACTTCCCCACTTCGGTGGGGAAGGTAATAGTGTTCCATGCACCTTTGGCATATAGCCATGTTGGCTCCATGACCACAGAAAATGTCTTCGGACAACACTGGCTCCCCATGTCCAAGAAACAGAAATGAGCATCGTGCCCTAGAGTCAGACATAATTGGACAGGGGAAACCTTTACCTTTTTTTTACAATATAGCTTAATACTGTTTTTTTTTAAATCAATAGTGTAGGGATTGATCTCTTCCTTTATTTTTTTGAGGGGAGGGGACAGGGAGGGCAAGGTTTCCTTGAAAAGATGGATTTAGCTACATGGTTTTGGATAGCTTGCTTGCTTTGCAGATTTAAAAATGGCATTCGTTGGCAGAACTCTGACCACATATAGAGTAATTTGTAAGGCTTAGTGAATGTGAATAAACTTGCCGACTCCTCCCCCACCTTGCCACATATACAGTTATAGAAACACCCATATATTGTTTGTTTATAATTAAGCAACTTCTTTAAAAACAGGATGTACAGTACTTACAGTACTTCTAGCCATAGCTGCATCTGTCTTGTTAGCACAATAATTCAACAGCAAGCAAACCACAGACATCTGGTTTGATAGCTGGGGTGCCCTAAAAAAAAATGTTTGTGGGCATACTTGTGCTAACTAAGCTTTGTGGATTACTGCACCGTGTCAATATGACCATTGTGTGGCTGCAATAATATTCAACCTTGCTTTGCATTCATTCAACCAAAATACAGTGATCTTATAGATACCATACAGGTAGTCCTGGACTTACAGCCATAATGGAGCCCAATATTTTTGTTGCTAAGCAAGATAGCTGTTAAATGAATTTTGGCCCATTTTATGGCCATAGTTAGGTAACATGGTTGTTAAGTGAATCTGGCTTCCCCATTGACTTTACTTGTCAGAAGATCGCAAAAGGGGATCACGTGATCCCAGGACATTACAACCATCATAAATGTGAGTCAATTGCCAAGCATCTGAATTTTGATCACATGACCATGGGGATGCTGCAACGGTCATAAGTGTGAAAAACAGTCATAAGTTACTTTTTTCAGTCCATTGTAACTTTGAACGGTCATTAAACGAACTGTTGAAAACTGATGTAAACCTGTACTTGCATTATTGATATTTCTCTCTCCATCAGGGAACTGGCAGGGACTATTCTTTATCCCGCTTGTTCTCCTTATATCCATAACTTCTGCATGAGAAAAAATTGGCCAAGAAGTATGATCTTACATGGTTTTTGGAAGAGGTAGTGCTGAAAACATTGGCTTCTTGTTTGTGCTGTGCCATAAAATAAAAGCATTAAGCTTATTTTGCTTGTGGTATTTTTTTTAACACCTGGACAATTACATTGCTAAATTTTGTAAAGGTTGCAGCCAAATATTGAAAGTGGGAGCAGAAGACTGTAGCACCATAACAATGATCTGGAGGCTACATATAACCAATGAGCCAATGAGGTTACCTACCCTGGTTCTAGAATGAAGCTATATATAGCAATTATCTACATTGCATATCTATATAAAATTACTTATTTTGTGGGTCTCTTCAGTAGAAGGCAAGCTAAAACAAGTCCGCACCAAGTACCCATCCCTGCATAACAGATCTATTTGTGTTTTTGCACTGAATGTGCTTGAATGCTCTGGTGGCATCTGCAGACATGGGCAGTTCTATTTCCACTAGAAGTTGGCTACAAAGAGGTAAGAGCCAAAATGGTGCTCAGGAAGAAAGCCCACAGGCAGACAATCTCTTCCATGGATGGATATGTTAAACTCATATATTATGTTAATGTCTTTCAGACCCGCCTCTGAGGATATTACTGTTGTAAATATTCTGTATAGTATCAAGAATGCTCAGTGCATAAAGATCTAGATTGTGTCTGAGTATTTTTCATGGAGATTTTATCCCACAATCAAGCTGATTTCTACATGTTACACCCGTGTAACTGATTAAAGTAGCTTTTAACACATAGTTCAAAATACAGGATGAAATTCAGTGTAGGAGCTTAATAAATATTATAGAAATAAAACTATTACATTCTCTGATAATTATTCTGAAGATTTGTGGTTTTAAGCTAGTATCAGTTTTAAAAAGTAATTTTTCAGTATTTCAATATACAGTATTATGAAAACCAGACATATCAGGCTTGAACTGTATCAGGCCTATTTTCAGATTGTCATTAAGGGACAACCTGCCTACTGAAGTTTTAGAACTTTTATTCTTATTTTTATAAAAAAGTAAAGTAGAAATCATAGTGATTTGCATTGAAGGGTGAGGTGCTTCATTCTATTTGAGGCAGCTAAGAATTCAACCGTATCTTCAGGATCATTTCGCATGAATGAGTCAAATATTTTTTTCTTAGACACATTCTTTGGTTATTGCAGTATTATGCAATCTAACCTATATTTCAAAATCTGTTCATTCACTACGCGTTAGAAAGTCTTGTGCTGTAAGGTTAATGGAAATAATATAGTGAGTAGTGTGAGACAGCTTTGGCTTCTTGGCCTTTTGGCTAAGATCACGTGTGACACAGCAAAAGTTTCCATTGCCGTAAGCATAGAATTGAATATACCAGCATAATTTATGAGCAATGTGGAATTACTGTCTGGGAGTTGTAAGTATATATTCATCTTCGCTTCTGGCTGTCATCAGCTTAATGCCATATAAACCACCTTTTCCCTTAATAATGCAAGATAAATAATTGGTTGTCAAATAATGAAGTCATAAAGGTAAATAGTTTTTTAATGGCATTAATTTTGCTTTGCTGAAGTAAAAAAAATATCTTGTATGGTAAATTAAAAAAATTAAATGGCTGAGGTCCAATCGCTAGCTATTATAAGGAGTGTTTGTAAAAGGAAAGTTTATCCTTATGAGGGTTCATAAGAAAAGCTGAATTATTAACAAATTCTCCATGCAAAGAGGTCTTACATGTAAATATTTATTTATTTGTAAAATTTATTAGCCACCCATCTTACCATAAGGTAACCCTGGGAACTTACAATCTTAAAAAGATAAAAACTATATAAAAGAATGTTCTTTTATACTGGAAACTTGATCTGACTCTTTTTACTATCTTATATAGAGTCTGTATCATTATTTACTTTTTTTTTGCTGCTGCTGTTTAGGAATAGTTTTTACAACGGTGCTATAAAACGAACTGTGAAGCCATAATTAAGACCTACATAGTGCAGGTATAAGAATGTAATTTGATAATAATTAGTAGATGACAGCATCCTGGTACTCCATTTAGCAGGTATTAAGCATGTTAGTGGGGAAGATGCAGAATTTCAGTTAATAATATATATATTCTGAAAAAATATTCTAGTATTTAACCTGGCTTTGCTTAGGATATTTTTAACATTTGTTCTTCATGGTATGAATGGCACAGAAGACTTTGGTAAAATTTTCTCCCATTCACAGAAACACAGGATGCTGCTTTCTCTTCTTCATCATATTATGATACCTGATGTCGTGTCTTTTCTCTTGGAGCCCTTCCTCATAGCAACCACCTTGAGAGTCAGGTTGGATTGAAAACGTGATTAGCTCAGCGTTACCAACGAGCTTCTGAACTTGGACCTGGTTTTTTTCCCTGATCCCAGAACTATGTCTTAACTATCACATCAGATTTCTTTTGTTCCACTGATTTCGCCCACTGGTCTTGTCTGTCTCGGGATTGTTTATATCAGATTCCTCAATCAACCCTTCTTAATATGTCAGGCTATTGTTACGAGCAGCTTCAGCCAGGTGAGGGTGATGGGCAATGCAGCCTCACATAACGGTTATCAAAAAGGAAAGCTTACATGCTTGAGGGAAGATTGAAGTTGGGACTCAAAGGGGACATTGCCAGTTCTTCCGTTCTGTTCCGATCATAATTTCTCTGCTAAAAACTGAATTGCAAATCACAGAGACTAAAATCATGAGAATATTGCTTTGTATGAGTTAATATTCCTCTGCAATAGTTGTAGTTTAGTTATGATAAGACTGTGTCCTTACCCCAATGTAATTCTTAACGTTTTATCAGTGTCTTGCTATGTGGCTACATTCTGCCTTTAAAGGGAAACAGACATTTGGACTCTGTTATTTCAGAGATACTCTATTAAATTTGTAATCTGGCTTTCAGCTGGTTGATTTTCTGCAGCTTCCTTTTAGGCACACATGGGAGCATAAGGTATAAGCTTGGCAGGCAAAGGAATGTTTAGTGCAACATACGTAGGGAAAATCTAAGACAACCCAAGAAAAACATGTAGGAACCTTATTGTAGAACTGAAAGTAATATGAGAGGTTCTTGAATTATATCTGTAATAGAGCCTGCCACTTACTGTGATAAGTTGTGATGATCATAAAGCAGATCATCACATGATGCATAAGAGGTGGCGGGCGTGTGTGGGCTGATGGTGTTCAGCAGCAGCTGCAGCCTGCTGACCCCTTGGCCAGCACGCTCTGAAGCTACGGAGCCTGAACAGCGCAGGTGAGTTAGAGTACTGCTACCGCGGGACTCGCCCTCCAAGCGGAGGCAGGTGATCCAGCTTGCCAGTCATGCCACGCAGCCACCTGCCCCATCGCGGCTGCGGGCAATCAAAGACAGACAGTGGGACAGAGTGGGCAGCCGGCTGTGTGGTATATCCAGCAGGTCAGATCATGTGCCTCCCTCTGTGCCTTTGCCTCCACCTGTTGCTTGGCAGGCCGGACCGGTGGTCACAGTGCTCAGGCGCACCTGTGCTGCGCAGGCTACGCAACCCCAGAGTGCCAGCCAAGGGGACTGTAGACTGCGGCTGCTACTGGACACCGTCGGCCCCCGCACGTTCACTGCCTCCTGTGCTGGTCATACTCTCTCCCCCACCCCCGGAGGGCTGACAATCTTAATTGGAGGGGGGGGGGGCGTAGGGCTTATATTACAAACATCCTGAAAAATGCTAGGGCTTATTTTCTGGTTGAGTCTTATTTTCAGGAAAAACATGCGAATTATGCTTTAATTTGTAGTCCTTTTGCTCTGTTATCCTGTCTAACATCTCTATTTAACAGTTCCAACACTAAAATAAATAATAAAGTGGAATAAAAGACACCACTGCCTTGTTCCCTTTTGGATTTGAACTGATTTTGTAAAGTCTTCATTCATCATGATTTGAGCTTTCTGGAGCGCATAGATGGACTTCAGACCCTGTATAAAGCCCAATCCAAAACCCATCTTTTCCAGTGCTTTAAACATAAAGGCCCAGTTCAAATTGTCAAAAGCTGTTTCTGCATCCAGAAAGATTAATGCAACCTGTTTGTCGCTACATTGCTGTAAATATTCAATTATATTCAAAATTACTCTTACATTATCTTTCAATTGTATTTTAGGTAAGAAGCCACACTGGTCTTCATGTATATAATCCTGTAAAACTTCATCTAAAATAGATGTAAAGAATTTGTAATCGTTATTAAGGAAAGAGATTGGCCTATAATTCTTCACAGAAATTAAACCCAGTCCATCTTTGGGTATTAAAGAAATGTATGCATCCTTCCAATAGTCTGGTATAAGATTCCCCTGTAAAATAGAATAGTGCTTCATTGGAAGAAGTAATTGATCTTCAAAAATTTTATAGAATCTGCTTGGTAGGCAACCTGGTCCCGGACCTTTGCCTGATTTAGCTCTTTTAGAAATTAATCATCTTCATTTCCTCCAAACAACAGTACTTGGAAGTAGAGACAAAGTACTAAGTTTATAAAGTATATTAACATGTAAATAAATTATACTTGGAAAAGCTGGAATGACAACTGTGCCATGTTTAGAGGCTTGACTTTGTGCTTTCTGTTTTGGGACGTACATTTGGGGTGTTCATATCAAATCATTTTTTTCTACTTCGAGGGTATATTGGAATACGATACAAGGAAGTAACTATATATCTTTTCTCACACTTATATATACTAATCCAGAATTGGCAAATACAGGGTAATCTGTAATAGGGTTGATGTGAAGGACAGAAATTAACACCTGACAATGAATAATTATGCTGGGTGATTTTTACATCTTTTCCCTGATAGGTTCTCACTACGACAACCAGAATGAACTGATGTTCTCATATGCCCTTGATAGCTTGGTTACATTAATTGATCGATGGATGTTCTGTCCTGCAGTATTTCCCATTCTGTTAGTGAAAAGCATTCAGTGAAAGAAGCTGCATGGAAAGCTAAGAGTCCACATCAACTTGAGCAGCAAACCTGATGTAATCTAACTTGGCATGCTTGGTTCTGTTCTCTACACAGGCGCCTCATTGTGAGCACGCTTTTTGCAATGCCTGTATCACCCAGTGGTTCTCTCAACAGCAGACGTGTCCTGTCGACCGAAGCGTTGTGACTGTGGCTCACCTGCGCCCTGTACCCCGGATCATGCGTAATATGCTATCTAAGCTGCAAATCACGTGTGACAACGCTGTTTTTGGTTGCACTTCTATAGTGCGGCTTGACAACCTGATGTCTCACCTCAATGACTGCGAACACAATCCAAAGCGGCCTGTGACCTGTGAACAGGGATGCGGGTGAGTATTTGCCAAATTTGTGTATGTATGTCTGAGCATGACCCAGCAGTGTCATCATTCCCTGCTTGTCTGATGATAAAGATCACACATGACAGCATGATCTGGAACATTAGTGAGGGCAGCAATAACTGTGCCGTCTGTTTTGTCAATGTGAAAGGGCTTTTGTGATGCATCAGGTATAACCAAATTGCACAGTGTTGGCAACTGGTAGCCTGGGAGTTGTTATTTTCAAGCTCAGTTTTCTTAGAGTAGCAAGAGTCTTTTACCTCTGTTCTTGGTTGCTTATCCACCTAAACAGTTTTTTTCTAGGCACTCAATTGTAGTTACTTCTCTGTGCAGCTTGGAAATGCCCAAAGACGAATTGCCGAATCATAACTGTATAAAACATTTACGGTCGGTAGTGCAGCAGCAACAGACAAGAATAGCTGAATTGGAAAAGACGTCTGCAGAACATAAGCATCAATTAGCAGAGCAGGTATTGCATTTTCTTTCCTTTGTCAAATGGCCAGGTGGTTTAAAGGATCCACTGACCTTTTCTAAACAAGAGGAATGAGAACGGGGCTGTATTTTTAGAAAGTTTCTTTGTACATCTTTTACTGAAGTGAAAATGTGCCTACTTGTGAACACAGGGAGTCCTCGACTTATGACCACAGTTGGGCCCAAAATTTCCATTGCTAAGCAAGACAGTTGTTAAGTAACTTTTGCCCCATTTTATGACTGTTCTTGCTGCAGTTATTAAGTCAATCACTGCAGTTGTTAAGTTTGTAGAATGGTTGTTAGATGAATCTGACTTCCCCATTGTCAGAAGGCCGCAAAAGACTATCATGTGACCCCAGGACGCTGCAAGCATCATAAATGCAGGCCAGTTGCCAAGCATCTGAATTTTGATCACTTAACCACAGGGATGCTACAACGGTCATAAGTGTGAAAAACAGTTATAAGTCACTTTCTTCAGTGCTGTTGTAACCTTGAATGGACACCAAACAAATGGTTGTAAGCTGAGAGTTACGTATGCAGATAATCCTTGACTTAATGACCACCGATTGATCCATTGTTTAGAATTTCCATGGTTAAGCAAGGCAGTTGTTAAATGAGTTGCACCCAGTTTTACAATCTTTTTTTGCCGCAGTTAAGGAAATCCCTGCAGTTGTTAAGTGAATCAATGTTACCCCATTGACTTTGCTTGCTGAAAGGTGGCTGGGAAGATCACAAATGGCAATTGTGTAACTCCAAGGCATTGCAACCGTCATAAATGCATGGCAGCTACCAAATTTTGATCACGTGACCATGGGGATTTTTGCAATGGTTGTAAGTCCGAGGACCAGTTGTAAGTCACCTTTTTTGTGTTGTTGTAACTTGAAACAATCACTAAGTGAACAAGTTGCAAGCCAAGGACTACCTGTATTCCCTGGACATGTATATTAGCATCGTGCAACCTTTTAGACTCTAAACGTGATTTAATATGTGGGGAGGAAGTCACATGGATCCTGTCTGCATCTTTTTGAATCAAATATGCCTTTTCCCGGACCCAAAATCCAAGCCTGGGAAAGAGGCAGCTTTGTTCAAGGAGTTGCTGATAGGTCACAGGACACCCAGTGCAGTTCAAATCTCCATTTCTGCTTTGAATCTGCATTGCTGCACACTGTTAATTTGTAAAGTGTTGAGCATTAATAAATGTTAGTGATTACTATAGTAAATTAAGCTGTGTGCAATGTATCATGGACATTTTTTATTGATGCAGGGTAGCCTCTGGGTCCTATTAGTTAAGTTAATGTAATATCCATTTTTGCAGAAACGGGACATACAGTTGTTAAAAGCATACATGCGAGCGATACGTAGTGTCAATCCCAACCTGCAGAATTTGGAGGAGACTATTGAATATAATGAAATCCTTGAGTAAGTACTAATATCTCACTAGTGCTGGACTGGAAGAGTTGTGGTGTGGGTTGGAAAAGGCAATAGTGAGTAGTGGTGGGAAATAATTGAGAATTAGAGCAAACTTCTGTAGGAAAAATTATGGGGTACATTTATATGTTATGCTATCAAGTATGGTTGTCCAAACCTAGCACTCAAGGTAATACTTGACATTATGCTGAATGAAGATGAAACATCTGCAAGCAAACAAGCTCAGAAAGCACTCAGGAGCCCATAATACTTCCCAAAAGCCACGATTCCCAATCCCTAATCTCTACCCACACTGACACTGAACAGCACCAATTCAATTGGAGTGATACAAGCATCATCGGTCATGCTACCACCCGCTACGCTCACGAGTTTGTTGAAGCCTGGCACTCCACAAGCAATTCCATCAACAGACACATCAACCTACAACCAATCTATGAACCCCTCAGAATTCAAATCAACCACACAGCTAACCAGAGACGGCACCAACCATCAACCAACCCATGCAACACCCCCCCCCCCAACCAGCTCTTCACCTCCAAATGACCCTCACATGATTCCCATCACAAGACCCATCACAACCCTCACTTGACATAACCCACACCTGGTATGACCTCACCATCACAAGACCTCTACTGACCACATGAAGCCCTTATGAGCAGAACACGGACACTGACCTACCCTAAATTCCACTGAAGATGTTATCTAGTGCCAAAGAACATGTCTGGATTACCAGCCGATACCACTTTGGTGTCCCATTGTTAGAATTATTAAGGCTTTGAGACTTCATAGTTCTCATTTCAAAAGAGCCTGATTGTGTAAACCACCCTGGGAAATGGGTGGTATGCGAGTGATTATGTAGATAAAAATATATTCCCAAACAAATTAGGACAAATAGAATTGGGAGCAATGCTAGAAGGATTCATAATGTCATCGCTTTAAGAATAAACCTCAGAAGCAGTGATTTCAGGATAAGTCCTGGTGCATCATTCTACACAATGTAGAGCCACAGGAATGAGAGATTGTTCTAGACCAGGGGTGTCAAACTTGCGGCCCGTAGGCCAGATGCATCATGTGCTGGCCCTGTCCCTGCCCGGTTTAGCGAAGGGAAAAAAAGTCCCGATACGTCACGTGACGCTGCCATGACGATACGAGTATGACGCCCCTGTTCTAGAGAGATCACAGCTTATGAGGGTCAACAGGAAGTCCAGTAGGTCAATTTCTTCATCTGTGGCTATGCAGGCTAGATTTATTAAGGGATCAAGAGTGCTTGGATGAACCCAGGTTCTTCATGGCTGCCATAAAGAAAATAAGCCTTCAAAACATCTCCAAGATCACTGTATAAAGTTTGAAAGACACTTTTTTTTTTTAAGTGAAAAGTCTGAAATATTTGCCCGGTGGCTTTCTGTTTCCCTAGATGAAGTTAATTTTATGATAGAAATATAATACTTTGTGCTTAATGACAGGGTGTAGTCCAAATAGACCTGAACATTACTCATCATGATTGTTTGGCAGGCAACTATCATCCACTTGATCAGAAATACCCCCTCCCCCCAAAAAGAAGAAGAAATGTTGCTCTCCAGGCTTTCATTGTACTGCTGTTGGTTTCATCTGTTTTTCTTTTTCTCATTGTGTGACTCTTTTCACTTGACTCCTAGGTGGGTGAATTCCTTGCAGCCAGCCCGGGTAACCCGGTGGGGTGGTATGATCTCTACACCAGATGCTGTACTCCAAGCTGTAATCAAGCGTTCCTTGGTGGAAAGTGGATGCCCCACATCCATCATCAATGAACTGATTGAAAATGCCCATGAACGGAACTGGCCCCAGGGCTTGGCCACCCTAGAAACTCGCCAGATGAACCGACGCTATTATGAAAACTATGTGGCCAAACGCATCCCAGGCAAACAAGCTGTGGTTGTGATGGCCTGTGAGAATCAGCACATGGGAGAGGAGATGGTGCTAGAACCAGGCCTGGTGATGATATTTGCACATGGAGTGGAGGAAATTTAAAGACTCAACAGAGATGATAAAACAGCGTGCTTGTATACATACGTACACACACACACACACACACACACACATATATATATATATATAAAAAGAGAGAGAGAAGCTCCAACTCTTAAGCCCACTGATTCTGTTTTGTTGTGCTATATCAGGGCATCATTCCTCTCTTTGTTGAATAAAATGCTACTCCTTAATTATACTGGGCATGAGCCCAGGAATTTATGCAAAATGCCATGCTGCACTCCCTTCTCCTTATGGTCATTAACCCTGGTCTGATGTTGACAAAGATTTCCAAATGTCTACAAAGGAGCACAAGTTCCTCCCTGTTCCAGAAAGAGCTGTGGTCTTCAGTCGTATAAAGTCTTTGAACTCCTGATATGACTGCATTGGCCTATGTAGCCTGGTTCCTGTTTTGGATCTGTAAACCATGACTTAAGATTTTGAGAAGCTGAAAGTTATCCTGAAGAATTTTAGCCCATCACTTCCAGGTCCGTTTGGCTTCTCTCCTCTAAGGCATCTCTGTGAAGTAATGGGATTTACACAGTACTTTTAAGATAAGTTTTAAGCTTTTATGTGGAGAGGGATTTTGAGCGAAGGGAAAAGTAAAACATGAGAATACAGATGCCAAGTCGGAGTTGTAAGTAATGCCAAATGTATGCATCAATAGATCCTTCAATGTAAACTGTTTTGTGGAGCCAAAAAGCTGCATCATTTGGAGAACAATCTGCAACTCATTTTGGATGTGTTTACATTAAGAAGTGGTCCTTTCCTATTGTGGCTTGGTTTTCAAAGGAAGTCACATTCTTTAGCTTTGTAGCATTGTTACCACCACTGCAGGATAAAATGTGATTCTCCTAACGTCTAGAGCTCAGTTTTCTCCATGCTCTTGAAAGGTGGCTGAAGCATCTTGGATGCTTGGTGGACTTCTCCTTTCTGATAAGAAGCAAGCCTTCAATCGTACACATCACTCCACCTGATCAGAAATGGTCCTTCTAAATTGCATGTGCCATTTAAAGTTGTATCAACTTTCATAACCTTTTGAAGAAAACACAAAAAGAAGAATGGACTCAGATTTATGTAGTCTCATTACGTTGCCTATTTTGAAAAATCATCTGTATTTATTTTCTTTTTTCACATTTTGATTGTGTTTAGTCTTGTATTTTTGTGCTTGTATGTTTTTCTTTTCTTTTTTTTAAAAATACAATAGCTAGGAATGGCTTCAAATTTAGTTTACCTGTCAAATTTAATTTATTTGCCATCTTTGGTTTCTGTTTTTATATATATATCAACTTCCTTCCAATGCTTTAAATATTTGTTAATTGCTTAAAACATTTCTGCTGGAGTTCTTGAGGACAAGGAATAAATGCATTGATAAAGGAGCAGTTAAAGTTGCTGTGATTGAAGTGTTTTGCTATACAGTCCATTCTGAGCGGCTTTCATATATTACATAGGCTAAATATTCTTCTGTGACTAGGAATATTTAAACCAGGCTTGACTTTCTTCTCCTAGTGTTTAATACAGATTTTCTTAACGCTCTGGTATCAGAGGTTTGCAATGGTGCAGAATTTGGATCATGTCAGACAAACAGTTGCTTCTTCAGATGTCTGGGATAAAGAAAATTGCTCCAGAAATCCTCAATGGGAACAATGGCTTGAGAAGACCTTGTGCTCTCACCAGAAGCAGCATGGGAAATTTTCTCATTATGTGCAATAGTAAGCGGCCTAATATTACATGATGAGCCCATGGTGGAGAATCCATGTTATAGCAATACGGTTCTCATTCCTGTTGGTTACTGGCAACGTCTTCTATGAAAGAGAAGAGAGAGGGGACCCTGGAGGAAGATACAGTAGTTCAATTTCAGTCACCTAACAAAAGCAACTCTTTTCCTTCCATCATTTGTACAAATAAAAGATTGTGAATAATTCTCAACATTTGCCAGGCAGATGCTGTTTCAGATTTTCTTTTATGCCTGTGCTTTGAAGACTCAGTTTGGTGGCCTTCTTTGCAAATCTGATGGATGGGTTTTGCATCATTTTTCAGCTCTGCTGGGTCCTCATTTCCCGCAATCTTTCATTTTAATCTTTGCTGACATACTGCTTTATGTTCTTCCTCTCTCTTCTTCCTCGTCCACACCTCTTTGATGGTAGAGTTTTGTTTTAGAAACCAAGTCTATCCCTGATAACTGTTTCTAGTGCTGTGAATTATTACTTATAAGTATCTTAAAAGTTCCTTGAATAGTACTACTCTTTGTAAGTCATGTTAAAATACTTGGAATGTGCATCAAAAATCAGGTCAGTTTTAGGGGTGGAATGGGTTGTGTTCATGTCTGTAATATGACATGTTTTGAAAGGGGATTTATTTGTTGAAGATTACTTCTAACCAAGAGTCCCTGTTGCTCAGGAATTTGAAAAAAAGCTGCTAAATCCAACCTAATAACTGCATCTTGAGCTAACTGCATCTCTTAATGTTGTTCTCCTAACACACCTTGTCTTTCTCCTCAGTGTCCTGCTGTTGCTCTTCCTTGTGCTTTAAAACATCCAATAGAAATTGTCATGTCTTCTGCCAGTATCCAAATCATGGTTGCATTTTGTGTTTTATTGTTCAGTTGTGCTGACTGCACTAATAAATTGCTTTTTTTCCTTGGCTCCTTTATATAAATATTGTGTTTCGTTCAGATTATATAGGGTGTTGCATCTTGCATGACATATCTGCAAAACTGCTTGATTTCTTTTGGATTAACCTCCTCCTGCAAAGCTGCTTGGTTCCTTGTTAGTAGTGGTGCCCCTCCCTCTTTGCCACCACTTTTCCTCCCTAATTCCTACAGCAAAGGCTTTCCAGGTGACCCACAAATGATTTTTATTTAGAGTAGGATCTGGACAGATCAATGGCTTCCTTTCATAATTACTGATTCAGGTTTAGCTTGCCCCATTTTCTTGTCCTCTATCTAAGCTTGTAGTACAAATTGGTTCTTAACTCTTAGAGAAATACGTTATTTGGATTGTCAGAGATACTCAGTCTCCGATTTTTCTGAATGGCTAAACTAAAAACAAGCAAGAAGAGCCAAAGTATCACTTGATTTAACCTAAGCAATTGCAATAATGAAACTTGCTGGCAAGAAAGAAAGACTATCTGCACTTCAGAAGATGGCGGTTTTTTATTGGGAATACTTTTCCTTTGCATTTCCAATCTACAACTAGGAGAAAGGGGCAATCAAAGGTTTGTGCCCTAAGTCTGACAGAACTGAAGAGGCTTCTAGTTCAAACTTGGCTATTGAATACAGCATGTTGAGATTTCCTAATATATTTGTTTGTTAGATTTATATCAGGCTTGTCTACTTATAAAAGTATTCAAGGTGTCTTGACATGGTGATGTTATAGGCAGGAGGAAAAAAGGTTAGCATATATTAAAAGTGGTGTGCTAGGGATGCCATAAGCATAAGGCCTCTTCCATGCTACATTTATTTCTAGAAGCTTCTTTTTGAAAATGTCCATTTAGATATGAGCCAGATTAAAATCCTATCAAATATTCTGTGCCTATTACCAAGTCAACTGATTTAAATTTATTCAATGAAGAAAATAGATAAACCAAACTGAGTAGTCCCATAGAGCTTGATCTATTTTCTGTTACATTACTGATAAGCTGTAGATGGAATCAGCCCTAAATTTAATCATTAGGACCTATTATGGGAGGCCATTTTTTTTACAAGTTCTGTCTATTTATCTGCTGTTTTTTCCCTCCGTTCTTTACATTTGATACAATCATCTGAATTCTTTGTTTAGCCTGTCCCAATCCAACATCACAATTTTTACACAGAAGTTAAATATAAAATATAAAATAATGTCTTTAGGCTATTCTTGCTGAAGTGACTTGTTCTGGAAATAGGACTTTCTAATCTGTTATGCAATAAAAACTGAATAAAAGTGTATTCCAGATCATCACTGCTGAAATTGAAATGCCAGGTCCTTGAAATCTATAAACTGAACAGTAAACATGGGGAGAAACATGTCAGGCTGCTTTCCTCCTAATTTTACTTTCAGAATCTAAGCGAGGCACTCAAACTTACTGAGGAGAAAAATACACTGCCCCAATTACATTTTAATATTATTTTCTAAATCCTCTTCCCTATCCCAGTTTTTTTGTTGATATTACTGAAGTGTGTAAATGGGTTTCAAGGAACTATGCTTCCGCAGCATATGTATATTTATAAATCCAAGATATTCAGTACAATACTTATTTTTTGGCAGATGCATAGTAATCGCATTCTTAGTTTCAGTTTGTTACAGTAATATTTTTTTTAACTACAGTAATATTTTCAGGTATAATGTTGCACAGTTAGGATGGTTATGTTCTCACTGGGAAAACTGGAGCATACGTAGTACTATAATTAGGGAAGCAATTTTCAAATTAGGAGTGATGCACTCTGGATGCACACTTTTGAAAAATCATACCTTTAACTAGTAACTTCAGTCATTGCTTATTGGCCATATTCATTTGAACTTTATATAGTCCAAGTCATCTGGGGTAGGATAATTAAATTATGAATTAGATTACCCTCAATTGCAAGAATGTCTGCTGTTTTGGAGAGAGATGATAAAATGACAATGCGTTGTCATTCATTAGGATTTTTGTATCAGAGTTGCAAAAATTCAGATAGCCATTAGATGGCCTCAAGGAGATACTGAAAACTTAGTGTTATAAATTTAGAGTACTCAGATACTGCTGTTCGCCCTACTGCTCACTGGAATGGTTAAAGATACAATTCCTATTTATATTATTCAAACTAAAACAATATAAATGGAATTCATCTTTGACCATGCTAACATCTTCAATAGGACTTGACTTCTCATATGTGTAAATATTCTTATACATGTATCCATAGTCTTCCCATATATTTCATTTGCCTGCACAAGGAAAACAGTCAGAAAGTAGATAACTGGTCACAGGCATGTCAGCTTATATTTATATTGTAATGCATTCTTGTCCTCTGTTGGGTATAATGTTCCTTGTATTTAATCTTTGATGTAGCTCTATTTGTTTTATGCTGTAATCTCAAATGCAGATTACTGTGCAGATTTCCAAACTTTCTGGGCAAGCAGGGACATTTGAAATGTTAAAATTCCTAGGTTTTTTTTTTCCTAAGGGAAAAAAAAAAGACTTCAATGATGTATGTAGCTAGTCATTAAACACTCCGCAGCAGATTAAATAGGTAAAGCTAAATAAGTCACTTGTCCAAAATTCTGAATACAAACTCCCAAGCACAAGCACTCTTTTTAAACTCTTGTTCAATTACCCACAAATTTGTCACCAATCCTCACCTAACTTTCCCCAGATCTCCCAAACTGACACTCTGTTTCCTTCATCCCAGCCAAGTTGGGTCAACCTGCAAAACTCTCCGATTTCTTTCATTACTTTCCACAGCCTCTGCTTCTTCCTCAGATTGTCTCTTTCCTTTCTGCCAGTATGACTTCTTCTGCTTCATCACTGCTAGGTTACAGCTATCTTTACTTTAAATGTCCCTGGAGCCACATGGAGCCTAAAGAAAATAATGAAAATAATTATTTTCAATTCTCAAAAGGAGGAAATGATCAGGGGTGGGTTTCTACCGGTTCTATCCACCTCTGTAGAACCGATAGCTCTGAAGAGCAGCAGACATAGAACTGGTTCTATGTCTGCTGATGTTTTTGCCCACCTGCCCACCTGAGCTCTTACCTGATCTTTATTTCTTGATTTTTCAACTTCAGCTGCTGAACGAGCCACAGCTGCAGTTAAAAAAGCAGGAAAGGAGGGCTGTTTCAAAGGCTGCTTCTATGCACGCAATGTGCTGATGATGATTTACAGGCACGCGGCTCACAGCGTGCAGGGAAGCACATCATAAATCACCAAATCTCGTAAATCCCGAACCAGTAGTTAACCCTGTCGCATCCCACCGCTGGAAATGATGGTGTCCCTGGGTCCATGAACGGCTATAGATAGTAGCTGTGCTATTTTCCTGTGTTTAGCAACAAAATATTTGAACATATTTGAACAGGGTTGGGGTATTCAGGTGTTGCTGAATTATAGTTCCCAATAGTGTAATTAACCATGAGTGGCTTCTCTCCCAAGCAGAGGGCAAACATGAAATTCCTTTATATTATCAGTGTAGCATACAGCTCAGGCTGTTCTGTCCATTGTGAGGCGCTGTTCCAAGATGGTTCTCAAAAGTCAGCAGGGATCTTCTGGCGATGGGATTCAGGAGGAACCAGGCGAGGTTCAACTGATGCAAAATGAATGCGCTATACCTGACCCGATGTTCATCCAGAAATACCTTCAGTATTCTGGATTTGGCACTGGGCAGCTAATTCAAATAAAATAGTAATAACTTCCCTTCTTGTGTCACATTGGAAGGTATAATTTAGTGGTAAGTGGCCAGAGATTTGCTGGGCAACCTGTCTTTGCCTGCCCCACAGGATCACACTGGCCAGCTTGCTTCTCTCCCCTCAATAAAACATCCCCCCCTCCATGAGGCATGCCTCCTCTGATTATAAATTTAATTATTACATTTATTGGCCACCCATCTTACTATGGGGTTACCCTTACCACAGGTTAACTGTTGTCACTTGCCTGGAAACAGCACCTCTCTCCCTCTACAACCTTGAGGGCATTAAGCATGGCTGTTCTCTCAGGATGTTACTGACTAAGTTGTGTGAACTCATCAAACTGGGTGTGTAAGGGGAGTTCATTAGCCCCCAGCATGTGTGTGCATGGGTGCTGTATATTGTATTTTGATACTGAGTTTACAGTTTGAGCTGTAAGCAAACATTGTCTAGAGAGGAAGTCTGTCACATTTTCCTTCTTTAAATTTGTTACATCTCCCCCCTGGTATTTTGATATTATTAATCCTTTGTAAGCCACGCAGAGTTGGCCAGATCTGTGAAAATAGCTTTGGAGGACCATCCAAAAAGGATCTTGCAGTAGTCTACTTCTTGAAGTCTACCATTGAAATCCTGTTGCCGATTCCTTAAAAAACTATGCTGTGTATTAGATGTCAATGCTTTAACGAATTTATTTACAAAATACGGAGGATGACAATTTTCTACAAAGGGAAGCCTTTGATGTCTAGATGGGCACGTCACGCCCTTACTCTTAGCATGGCGAAGTTGTTTGTGGAGATCTCTTCCCTGCTCTTTTTTCCTTCTGCAATTGTAGCTATCACAGAAATCAAGCTTAGCCGTATATGAACGACAAAGGGCACCCTCAAACGAGCTTGCTTCCCGAGTTAAAAAAGAAAATGAGAGGCGAAGGGGTCGTTTTCCGTCCACGCCCTGCCTGAACTGACATGATCCTGGTCTACGAAGCGCGTCATCCACCAGCTAAGCGAGCTCCGCCAGCGCATGTCCTCCTTTGTTTCTTCAACCGGAACCCTCTCACCCCGCCACCCCAAATGGACTGCCTCGAAAGCCGGAGCGACTCGCTCTCTCTCTCGTCCCACCAGGCATTTTGTTTTTTCGTCTCCCATTGCTTTCCAACCGGGCTGATCCTTTTTTTTTTTTTCCAGTCGGCGATCGTCAAAAGCTGGTGGAATCAAAACGAGATCATCGTCACGAACAGGATTCGAACCTGTGCGGGGAAACCCCATTGGATTTCGA